TCTTCAGTGAGCACCACCAGGTAGTCTGTGCAGGCTTTCGTGCGAGCCTGCCCTTTTCCTGGAGACTTTTTTTTTAAAGCAGTGCATGTTTTTGTCTGAGCTGGTTCTCCACCTGCCTCTGTCCATTTTCCACCTGGTTAACTTCCTTCTTCAGAACCTTGTTTCCCTTTTTCAGAGACTTCATCTTCATGCTTGCAGAGTGGAGGGCGTCTCGGAGCGGCCTGTACAGTGAACTGCAGCTGCTCTGCATTTGACCTGTCCTGCTGCGGGACATCCACACATAGCCTTTACATAAGGTGGCCTGTGATTGAGTTTTAATCTTTGCAACCAGTGTGTTTTTGAACAATTAATGTTTATTACTAGGCTGTAAGTATTTTAAAGTGCTTCTAAAATCCAACATGTTCTGTCTGTAGTTAATCTGCCTCAGTGTTCAGCCTCCGCTTCGCAGAATAATGTATAAACTAAAGGACTGTTTTCAGATTCATCTGCTGCAGAGGGAAATAAATATTCCTGTTCTCACTTTAAACTCATCCAAACCATTTCTCAAGTATGATCTCACAATATTTTGTTGCTTTTCAGATTTACAGAAGGTTTTGGATTTTGTAAATCATCATCTTCCTTAGCTTCTTCAAACTGTTACGATCTCCCATCTCTGGGACATCTTCTCCATCGAGTCGCCACACATGCAGATTAATGACTGAAATAGGTTGTTTGAAATTAATTGTTGGGTTCAATATTTAGGTCTTCTGGAAAAGAGTGAACAGGATCTTCATAATAAATAATAAATGGTGTAGTTAAGGGAAGCAAAACATTTAAACTCTGATCATGTATTTAAGAAATAATTGTGGTTTATATTTGCCTGAATTAATTTGTCATACTGGAGGTTGTACATTAGATGATGCTCTTATTTTTGAAACAGTAATAAGATTCTGTCATTCTGCTGTTAGCGCCCTGAGGGGCGTTCTTAACAAGGTTATAATACGTACATGTGACTGTTTCAATGTGTCTGTCTAATTCTGGATTGTGCTGCAGGGATCTGGAGTTGTCGACTAACATAGAGTGATAAAGTGTTAAACTGAGCTACGTGTTTGTTTTTGTATCTCGGCCTGAAACTGTGTGTGTTGACACAGGACGTGATGTCAATTTGGTTTACAGTAAACAGACATTGCAAGTGTCTTTCTTTTGAGGGCTATAAAGAGCTTGAATCGAGAAACAAAATCCATAAAGGCTGATTTCAAGGAGCCAAAAACATGTGAGGCCATCATGACCTTTGAGTGTGTGTGTGTGTGTCCGAGTAACTACTAAACTCAACACTGCACCTACGGTCATATGCAAATATGCAAAACTATTTGTGAATAGGCTTCAGTAGCACACAGTGAGGTCACCACCCAAACAAATACAATGTTATTGATGAGGGGACCTCCTCCAGCTGGCAGCATTCCCATAATCCCAACAATTGGGAAAATGAAGATGATCTACAGCCTTATTCTTCTGCTGCATTTAATTGGAATGTTAAACATTCCCTTCTTTATTAGTTCTGCGGTGACTCGAAGTAGAGTATAGAGGGGGGGGAGGGACTGATTGAGGTTTTAAAGACTCACTCCCAGTTGAACTGCAATTGCAGAGGCTTTTAATTAGATAAAGCTTGGCTGGTTTGAAAGTATACTTTACAGCCGTGTCAGGCTAAAAGGGTCCATGTGTCATAAATATCACCCGAGACATTAATAGAATTGAGATTAGAGGGCAGAATGTGTGGATCAGCGTAAAAAAAAGGCAGCCAGCAGTGGGACGAGTTCATGCAGTGAGCTATTTATAGCCCCTTAAAATGGACGGCCCCATTAATATAAGGCTTACCCTTTCTGGAAATGTAAATCAGCGGGGCCGCGGCTCGACGTGCATGTTATACAGCTGCAGTATGTCAGAGTTAACAGTACAGTCGCTCTGATTTACAGCGCTGAGGGATAAAGCAAAGAAGATTGCTTCATTTCTGTGCGCCACCCTCGCGGACATCTGCTGTGTTTTAAGTCAACATGGTATCTTAGCAAATTTTGTCTTCGTTTTTCTTCTTTACGTTTTAATTGCATGTCTGCTGCGAAGAGGCTGCGTGAGGGCGAGCTACAATTTCTCCGCACACTCGCTGAAGTGGTATTATGGCCATGTTGAGAGCTGTCACTCATCCGCTCCCTTTGATTTCTGCCCTTGATGTTTATATTATACACAGACAAAACGAGTGAACGCCAAAGACGATGGTGGGGGAGGGGGTGGTGGGGAGTGATCTGATTGCCGTCTCGGCGGACACTTCCACAAGGCCGAGAGCTGATCAATAACCTCCACATTTCAAAACTGCATCGGCTCAAGTCGAACACGCCTTGTTTTTTAAAAACCCAACAGGCTGCGGATGTAATTGAGAGGCATCTCACGTCGAATCAAACGACTCATGTCTGTTCTTTTGAAATCACTTGTCATTTTCTCTCTGTCTCTTGAGCATATCAGCTCGCTCCTTTTCTCTCTAATCCCCTTCTCTCTTCCTCTCTCTCTCCACTGCGAGGGCGAACACTGCTGCACACAGCTCAGGTATTTTGCTACTGTACGTCTCTGCATGCACGTACTGTATGACTCAAAGCACAAAAATATTCATCATATATATAGATTAATCAGTATTATCAGCAGTATGTATTCAAAGGACCATTCCCATTTGTTTTCAAGGTTTAGCTCCTTAATTAAGGGGTAAAGTGGGTCGTCCACTAATCCAAAGGTCGATGGTTGGATCCCTGGCACCTCTAGGCAGTATTGAAGTTGAAGTGTCCTTGGGCAAAACACTGAACCACAAATTGCCCCTGATGGCTGCTCCATCTATGTGAGAATGGATAAGAGGGCGAGAAGTGCTTTATTTTGAAGGGCTGTGTGAATGTGACCTGTGGTGTCATGAGTTAAGCGTTTGTTAAGATGAGAAAAGTGAAGTTTTTAGTATTCAATTTACTATTCAACTGCAAATCATGTTTTTATACTGCAATGTTTTACTATTTTACATCTCATGTTCCAATACTCGCTTCAGTCTTTGATTTTGTTGCTGTTGTTAATGGAACCGTTTCTTATGAGTATAACACTTTAGTTAGATAAGATACTATGAACTCTTTAAAATGTCTATAAATTACTTGATATACATGTTATTATTTCATTGACTTGTGTACAATGTTAAAACCCAGAGAAATACCTAATTTTATTCAAGGTAAACAGATTGTTGGGCCGTTTCAGACGTATATATGCGCTCCACTGATTTTAGTTTAACCTTATTTGTTTTCTAATGTTAAATCTCAGTTGATCGAGATACTCGATCACTTGTGTTGTATAAACTTACATTGCTAGACTGGTTGAGAGTATCTTTGAATCTGCAAGTATAAGTACTCAGAGATTGCAGTTAAATACAGCACTTGAGTAAACATACTCACCAGTGCAGCCATTCATTCTCAGTGGAGCGACCTGGTGAATGTATAAGAATCATAATAATGTCCATGACTTTGCAGAGCTTCCCAGTGAACTCTCTCACACCATATGGTTGCCTTTGTACACTTTAGGCCTCAGAGGGCTGGAAAGAAATGCAGCGTTAGAGGGCAGATAGAGGTAAATATACATACAGACAACTGTCTGAGGAAAGATACAGAGGATGTGAGGGGGTTTGGCATCAGCTCAAGTGAATTCAGCAGAGATGAGAAGGTAATTTGGTGCAGAATTTAAAAGGGTGGTTATCTTCACTGTTCTCCAGTGGGTAATGATGTGATTTTAAAAGAAAATAGGCACTTAATGTAGAACAAATTATTCAGAGTCAAAGGCACATGCACTGCATTATCCCACATCAGAACCCAGAGTCTGCACTGTGAGCCTGTTGCCAGTAGGAACCAGGGTGCTGGGAATGGGAATGACTCTCAATAGGCCAATTAAGTAGATACGTATTCATTTCTACTAATGCAATGAACATAGTTGTATAGGCGAGAAGAGAAAATACATATTTGCACAGTACAAACAAAAGCCTTAAGAAGAAATTCTGCGACCATGAATGCACAAATGTGCTAAGTCTCTGATTAGAATATAAGGACATGAAACAAAGGGCAAGCAGCTGGCGCATGAGGCATAATGAAAATAAAATGTTAATATGAATTTTTCATGGAGGAACCTGTGTGACACTTGCCGACGTGTGCATTTTCCGACTGCTATACATTATTCAACAAGAGCATGTGACTCGAGGTGGGGAGCTTATTCTTACATTTCCCTCCAGAAAAAGGCAGAATGTGATGAAATCTAAAAGTGAAGTAATGATATGATTATATATAAATGAGTCAAAGATGGAGTCATTTTTAAACTTGAGATCCAGAATGGGGGCTAATGTTGCTCCGAGAGCTTTCCTCTTAAATCTCAGATACGTTCACGGAATACAACAGTGCACAGACGCAATATATAAATATATACAGAGCAGATTTATGTGGTGTAAAATAGCCTATAAGTATATTAATGACTATAATATACAGCTGCAGAGAGCAGATGCAGCATTAAAATAGGAATAAAACATATAGAGAGCAATTTAACATAAAAAAAATCAATCTTAACGATGCATAACAAATCTGAGAGGGATGATGGTGATTATCATTAAACAACAACATGATGTTTATCACTTTTTATAACATTATACAAGGTATTCATCACTGACATATTATCCTATTGGTTTTACTCAATGTAGTATTTCATTACTACCAAACTGTAATTATCTGACGGATGTGGCTGTATCGTTGTGGCGTCATTGCTATAAAAAGTACAAAGTGTAGAAAGATATTCAAGGATATTTTTTTTTCTTTAGGTGAAAATCTATAATTACAGAAAAAAACGCCTTTATTATGAAAGTTTCAAATACACCTAAATAAATGTAAATTCAAGTTCGGTTTATCACTGTTTATTGAAAATGTGTATTGTTACAATAATATCTGAACCTTGTTTATTAAGAATGAGTTGATACGATTTCTGCAAAAGGTATATATTGCTTTGAGTGTCTACAGACTTGTCATTAAACATATTAACTATAAAAACGATATAAAAAAATACAGAACATTCAATAGAAATCTAAAATGTTATACAACCTCTACGACTAGTAAGCATAGAAATGCTAGCTAGCTAAATGTGTCTAAAATGGAACTAATCCATCATTAAATGTTCCAGTTGAGTAAAAAACTGCATGTTAAAGCATTTTTCATGTTTATTAACATATGCATACTGTACATAAAAATTACTTTGCTAAAAAAACACACTGCTAATAGCTAAACGATCCCATAACGGCTACAAAAATAACAAAATATTACAAATAAATATTAAACAGGAAGTTGGCGACCACGTCATGTCTGAAAATACTGTTAATGGCCAGCGGGCTCTCATTTAGAACTTCTCTTTTGAATTGTTTTACTGCACTCCCCTTAGTTTTAATTGTTTGCGTTAATTTTGGACTGCAATACTAAAAGTAAAAATACAACAGATTAATATTTAACATGTGCAAATCTATTAGATAGCTTTTGCACCATAAGTGCTAGTAAGAAAATAAAGGTACATAATTACCCTTATGAGTCATATAACAACAATTCTTTTCAGCTTTTTTTAAATTTTTTTTTTTTAGAGTAGCTGGAAAAGTACAAGAACGGAGCAAGCGCTTGAGTATTTGTGGAAACCTCTGAGGTCTGACAGCAGGACGTATTTATCTCAGACTTTAGAAGAGTGGTACATAAATCATGTTTTGTAGTGCTTGGGTCAGCGCCATGTCCAGCTGAGGTCTGCATGACCTGCAACGTCTCCTGCACCTGTTTTTACTCACATCCCCTCGTGCATCAGCACCGCTTTATATATCTCTGCTTCAAAATCGTCTTCAGGCTGTGATCCCCCACCCCACCCCCCCTCACTCACCTCGTCTCCATCTGCATTTGACAGTCTCTACACTTTTCTCTTTCTGCTCTGGGGCCTGTAATGTCTCTTAAACTGATCAGAAAAGAATCGTTCTGTCTCCTGCTCACTTCTCTTCCTGCCTCTCATTGCTCTTGGCGCTGCGACCGGTCATACTCAGCACCGAGTTCAGTTCATTCAGCAGATTTGACGGCATCATACCCTCCCCGCCCAGGACTGGTCTTTTATTGGTCTTATAGTCGCTCTTGGGTGGAAAAGGCAAAGCAAAGCCAGGGTGCGAGTGTCTGGACGGGGACGGAGAATGATGCCTTGGAGGTTGGCCTGCGTTCACAGAGGGTCTGGTGGGCAGGACATCTGGGGGCTTGAGGAGGTTATTAGGCTTTGGATAGTTGGCTGTGGGGCTCTTAATAACAGCCTCCTCGGTGTTGCCCTGGTTGCCTGCAGCAAGAGAATGCCTCTTGATGACCTGCTGAATTGAAGCAGAGGGAATTCAAAGTCAAATATGGAGCACAGGGGTCAATTTTAACACGTTTCATGAAGGTAACACGTGAATCTTTGAGTTTCAAGCAAAACATTTGAAACAGAAACACAGCCCGAACAAACTTGAACCTGATAATCAATCATCAGGATGGCAAACATGGAAACCTCCAGTTTATTTTTTGTGTTTCTACTCACATTTCAGCTCAACTATTGCAAACACGACAACATAATGTTATTCTCACCTGTTTGCTGGAATTAGGGATGTGTGGTGAAATCTTGCGGCCTTCAGCCACAGCTCCCCCTCTGGAGGATTTGTGATCTGCAGCGTCTTTTGAGTTAACGGTCTTTTTTGAACAGAGGTCAGAACTGTACTGAAGACACACAGCCGACAACAGAAATGAGCAGTGGGTCCCAATTTAAAGGTTTTTTCTTGATTACAACAAACGAAAGTAGCTCTGTAAACAAGGAAAAGTGGCAGAGTAATGACTTTCTATTCTATGTGTCCGTAACCCCCCCCCCCCCGACCAACCTACAACTTCTCTTTTTAACAAATCCTTATTTCATCACTGCCAAAACCCGTCCGTGCACCTTTGCCCGTTTCCTCCCCAACCCTCCAACTATCACCACCAGCAGCACCCAAACCCCCTTGCTTCAAAATGAGACCCTCCGTCGCCGGTTGCTATGGAAACTGTGGGAGCAGGATGCTCTCTAACAGGTAAGAGAGAGGAAATCAAGAACACTGAAGTGCTCTCTGCCGACTTTCTCATCCGCACTTTCTCTCTGCCCTTCCCACAAGCCCCCGTGTCCTTCCACAATCCCCTGTGTTGGAAGCCGACAATCCTGATATTTAGCGGATTTGGGAGGAGAATCCTAATGTTATTAGCCGGCTCCAGTCTGCTATAGATTTAGTTGATCCAAAGAGCAGAGGAAAGTCACTGAGCCCTGTGAAACAAACACCTCGAAACACTTGAAAACAATAGACAGAAATTGGCTTCCCCTTAAAATCAATCTCTCCCGACAATGTTGCCCTTTTTCTCCGCTAACCCAAACAAAGGCACTAAAAGGCTTTTACAGTAAGCACCTGTGATAAACAACTCTGCTGCAGATGGTTTCCCATAAAGGAAGCCGAGCGGTTGGCTAATACTGATGAAATGTGCTGAGCGTACATTTCAGATCTTTGTTTGATCTGTTACTTTGAGATTGCACGAGCGTGACGTTCGACTTAATGTCGTTTACGCACAAACGAGCAGAGAGCAGAGGCATGCATTCAGTCTAATGAGGAAACAAGACGGTTTTTACCTAAATGCAGCAGCAATGAGTGCGAGATTGAAAAATAATACAAAAATATGAGACATCCGCCGCTGTTCCCCACCGTGTTTGCTTTGTCTTGCATTATTTATGTCACATGTGCTGTGTCAGCCTCTGACAGTGACAACACTCGGCTGTATCTGGGGGCTAAGTACCACAATGTGATTGTTCCAGTCGTCTTGACCTTATTCTCACAGCTTTTCCACATAAAGTGATTTATGTTATTGCTGAGTGACCTCGAAAAACTTTACACTTCTCCTGTTTATGTATTTCATCTGCCTAACGGCACAGTGGAAATGGACGATTGGGGGGAAAAATGATTTATCGTATCTTCCATTCTTCCCCGAGATATGGATTGTAAAAGATGATTTATTCCGACTGTAATCAAGCGTATTATCCGCATGAATAAGGGAAAAGGATGCTTCTGTTATGGGTTTATCAAATTCACTGATATTTTCGGTTTGCAACACAACAGGGTAAGAGAAAGAGGATGCCCACGTTGCCCTGCACTCCCAAAGTCACTGCACGCTTGAGCTTCGACTCATTAAATTACTTCATCAAGCTTTCGCAGAAGTGAGTTCCTCGCTCTCACTCTAACACCTTCATCTTACCTTCATCCTGATTATGTCCGTCACCCAGCCGACCTGCGCCTCCCGCTTCTCGCAGCACAAATGCCTGAGGAGGGAACAGAGCTCACTCACATCAGTTGCTGATTTCCACCTTATTATTTTCACACTCATTTTCAACAGGTGACTGGATTTGGTGAGTCACTGCGCCGGACGCCGTTTTCCTCTGAGGGGGACAGTTCACTGATCGCTCGAAGCAGGCTTGATGATGGGAGGGCCGGCTGCCATTAGCCATGATTGCGTGACTCTGCAGGGGTGAAATACGCCTTTGGCCCAGAGATTAGTGCCAAAAGTAACAATCTAGAATGATGGCTTAAATAATACCTGTCACAGATTCAGGATTGTACAGTAATCTCTTTGCTTTTTCTGGCGTCTGCTAATGTGGTTCTTCTCTTCAGTAATGTGCTAATGTATGCATATTATAAAAAAAACCTGCATTTGGTCTATAAAATGGACTAAAACTGGCTATGGAGAGTGTTTTTCTTTTCTGCCATTAACACAGTTTAACTTTAATTCTACTTATTTGAATATTCCTGCTTTTCTTAAATAAAAACTTCAACATGAAGATGAACGACATGCAGTGGAAAGTGAAGCCAAAATATCTCGACTGCTGCCTGGTGGCTGGCTGAAGTATTGTTAAAAACCCAACCTCCTCCATGTTCGGTGTTTAATCATTTTTTTATTATATATGTTTAATTGTGTATGTTTGTTTTTCATTAGTTATTTGATGCTATAAAATGGGGTGAAACATTTGAGACTGACTTGTGATTGGTCGAATGGGTGTATCACTAATCAAATATTAAATGTATGAATGTAGCTTGCTAGCTTTCATTAGCTTTCATTTGCCAACCTTTAAGGTGGTTGGTATAGTATGGTATAGTTTTACACAGCTACCAACGATTAACTTCCCGCCTGGCGACCAGCAGCAGCCCAGCCTGTGACCACAAGACCCATTATTAAACTGCACTTTCGTTCCCATTAATAACCCACTTAGATCATAAAGTGCTTTCACTTCAACTTTTTTCAACTTTGCCACTTCTGTTTTTAGAGATATTTGAAGTGGAAAGTGCAAGAGTCACACTCATCGGTGGTTGAACTGGTGAACTCCTGCGTGGCACTCACCATTGTTGTTTGTCAGAGTAGACCGTGAAGCCCCAGCTGTTGAAACGAGAAGGACGTGGGTCAGATTTCAAAAATGTTGAAGCCATAGAAACAAGTACATGTGGAATTTTGAAGTAATTAAAAGAACAACATGTATTAAAAACACTTAGAAGTGATGTTAAAGAAAGAAGGTCAAAACTTTTTCATTAAAATGCAAAGTTAAAACAATTTATAAGAAATGCTGGGTTCTATATAACGGAATTAATTAAGTTATTCGTTGCAGTTTTCAGCCCACATGTGCTCTGGGGTTAACTTTACAGTACAATGAGAATGTGTTGTTAACCTACAAGGCTTAAATTACAGTTTCTTAGGAGAGTTGCAAAAGATACCGAATCTCTTAAATGTAGCTTAGCAAGCGAAATAATTACATTGATCCCCGTCCCACACAAGTACAAGATATTTCTCCTCTAATAGGTGTATATACTGTATGTGCCTGTTTTCAGGAATTAACCTGCACAGAGGCGGATAATACACTTTTCCCTGAAATCCTTTGCAGCCGTGGTTGAACAGGAGCTGAGAAGTGGGGGAAGAACAAAGCGAGACAGGGGGCAGAGACGGAGAGCCCGCAGCCTGGAGCACCACTCCTGTGAGTTAAGGCAGCCGATCCGACCCCGCAGTCGGCCGCTCACAGATAGACCTCTGCCTAATGAGATACTGGAGCGCTGCCCCTCCTAACCCTCTCGCCATGACTCTCTGCTCTCCTCAGCACTCTGTCTTTATTTCTTTATTCGCCGTATGGCTTCTCCCACAGCCCACTCAACAGCATATCTATGATACCAGGCTGTATCGTTTCTTTCCTTTCCCCCTCCCCTCCTTTTCCCTCTCGCGCCTCATCTCCCACTTCTTCTCTCTTATCCACTTTTTCTCCCCTGAAGGACTGTGCTGTGCCGACAGACGCTCGCCAGCCTCATTTTTCACGCTTCCCCAGACTTGAAATTTCCGACATGGGGAAAATTATGAGGAATTGTAATTGGGTAATGTGAAATATAGGGGTTAGGCTCCTCGAGACGTTTCCTCTTTGTTTGACCAACAAGAGCTCCTGCGGGTTTGGCATGTGTCATAAATTATAATAATGGAGGATCATTAAAATAATTTTAAAAAAGTGGCAGCAATACTTTTCCACCCGCAGAAGCACAGCTAGATAATTTGTATTTGTTAAAATGTGATCAGTTTCATAACAGTGAAAAATAAGAACGGGTCAGGGTTGGCCCGGGTATCCCCTGGTGTGGCAATATGTTTTTGGGGACTAATGACATGATCTGTTGCACATGAAACAAATAGATTCAAAATGACAACAGCAATAACATAAAAAATAATAAATAATCATGAGCTCATCTTAATAAAACCGAATGTGCAGCAGCTGCTCGGGTCCTAATGAGTCACTTTATGCATTATTATGAAGCTGCACCAAAGTTATCCACTGAAAAGATTATGACAAGATTTGTCTGTCTCAATGCAATATTAATAAAATATGTACAGAGGAAATAGAAATTTCAGGCCATTGTTGACTGATCTATTAGAAGCAGACGCCCTGAACCACAAGAAGTCAGGATTTCTATGTGTCACTTCAGCTGTGAGTTTGCTGTTCATACGTGCACAAGTCGGCTGGAGGTTCTCAGCAGGTTCTCAGCAGACAGAGGCAGCAGAGTAATGTATTCATTCTGCTGCTGCTGCGGAGATCACGTGAATTTCAAACCCTTTCAACAGCCTAAATACTGACCACTAGAGAACCAGAGTCCTCATTCCTACAGGATCCTGACAGGGTCACAAGAGTTTACTCTCAGGTGACAAAGAATAAAGAGTAATACAGTTTGGTGGAATCAGTTCTGTTGTTTCAGACTTCCCATGTGTCCACACGCCTCGAACACAAAGGGAAAGTTTATCACGCTGAATAAATAATTAATAGCATTTATAGCTTCATTTAAATTTCACAGATTCCTTAAAGTGTTGCTGCTTTTACACTCTGACACTGCAGCTCAAAATAACCTGAACATGTGGTGATAATTAAAAACAACACGTTCAGACGTCTTTCATTAGGAAAATGATCCACACGCTGTTTAATACTTCCCATGATTATAAAAAGTGGCGCCTGACAACTCTTGCTCAATGTCAGCTGGGATTGGCTCCATCATGTATCTACTCACAGCATATAACGTTTTTTAGTTAAGTTAATATTCACGTTATGTGATCATATTGATTGCATTTCACTTTTGGATGTTGCTTTTAACTAAATGTACGTGCTAATACGAGCGTTTCTTCTCATTAGGAATACAGCACTTCATTTACGGTTGTGACAATGTTGTAATTAACAGCTCAGCCTCTTCCACATGAATGCACTCATAGCAGATAAGAAAAACTCAGAGCAGAAAAGCACAGGTTATCCAGGACATTGGCTCAGTGAAGCCAGACAATGTAGAGTCCTGGATATTTCAAACTAGCTTCGAACAGACCCAAAATCTGTTGATATAATTTGGTTTTATAAAACATTTCCACCTCATGAAAACATGTGAAAGTACTTTTTAGATCTTAGGAACAACAGTTTTTGTATAAAAACCCCAACTCAAGTTCCACTTACTAGCCTCGTCCATGGCCCGACTGAGTTGCCAAGGTAATAATGGAACAAAGAAAAAGAAAAGATGATAAATGGACCTAGAGTTATGACCTTTTTGTCAATTTACTGTTTCCGTGAACGTATTTTACTCCATGTGTGTAAAAAAAATAAAAAAGTTAAACCTCTTTTTAATTTAGTCACTGACCTTCATGTTGAGCTGAAAGCACTTTTCTCTTGCTCATATTGCCTTTTCCTCTCGCAGTGAAAAGAGTGAGTATTTGAAATTTCCAACGACATTATTTTTTATTATATTAATTCCACGTCTGACACAGCTCAGTATCCGCAGCACATTCAAACTGAGTCAAATGTAGCGGAAATCATTTATATCAACAGTATTAGTGGAAACTGAAAATGTGACCATGCAAAACATTTCGCCAAAATAGTCCATTTTGGTAGTTTTATGAAATCTACCGCTGATTTGAATATAAAATCCATTTACATACATTCAGATTTAAGAGGGAAAGAAACACACGAGAGATTTATTATTCATATGAGCGCAGTTTACCTGGTCGGGGGTTTCAGCTTTTTCCTCAGGCCCAGGTAACATTTCACAGATTTGAGTGGGATTACTTTCTCTGCTTTAGTGCTCTGCAAAAAAAAAAAAAAAAAAAGATTTGAATATTTTGGATGAATAAATCAAGGGAAAGAAAGAGAAATAATAAAATAAAAAACCTGGTGAGAAACACATCACACTCGACCAAACTAAAGAAACAAAGATAAAGCAAAATGCCAACAAATGATCTGTGCCATTTCAAAAAGTGTCACAACACGACAATCATTTTGAATCATCACCAGAAAAAAAAAAAACATCTCCTTCCAAGCAAACAAAGAAGAAAGTAGAGAAGAAGAAATCAAACTAAATCAAAGGTAAAGCCTCGCCTCTGACACCTACACATCACAGCCCCCCACCCCATCCCTGCTCCCTCCAACATAATTTGCACTAAGTATAGAGCTAGCAATAATTGTACAGGCCAAAGAATATCAATTAAATTTCAGTTACACTTCTAATTTCCTTTGCATTCATGCAGTAATGAGGCACATTCTTGTGCAACCTGATATTTAAAAAACGATTTCAGTGAACCCCCCTGCCCACTCAAAATACCCCCCCCCCCCCACTGCACCTCCATCAATTATTAACACTTCTTCTCACTTCTTTGTTTCGACTGCAGAAATGTGTTGTGAAGAAAAGGGCTCCGGGGAACACACTGTGTTCTTCCGTTTCAAAAGAGAGTGGGAAGTCCACCGCCACGAGTGTGTTTTATATTCCTCCTTCATTCCAAGATTTGGACGGACACGTCGCCAGGGACATGAAGCAGAGAGTTTGGGCGGAGTTCAATCTCCGCGGTTCCAGTCATGTGGGCTCCATTTTAACACAGTCTGGTTTTCTTAAGCAGCTCCATAACCTTTGAAATTCCCCCGTGATGCGAGGCGTGCTCTGTTCGCCAGGTACTTTTGTGTTTGCATGCAAGAGCCAACACGGTGGCGGGTGTTTGTAGATGTGACAGTGGATTCAACCCCCGAAAATAAAAGTATACTTGCTTTGATATCTCTGTAGAGCATCAGCTTCTCTGCACACAGCATGACGTATTTGTCCTGGAATTTGTGCCCCGACAGCAGTTTGGATGAGCCGTCATTGAACTTCAGATAGTCGCCTTTTTTGAAGTGCTTTAGGTCTTCTAGGAAACACGATGGCAAGTGATTAGTCCCAACACAATATATTAGAAGTCATTAATGAAGAGAAAGACCAACAAACAGCTGATATTAGATGTTCAATGTGTCGTTTTCTGTGTTATTTCAGTTTTATATAATCTGAAAATGCAACTGGTTCTGTGAACTTGTGACGGATAATTTCAACAATTTTCTCACACTGTATCCCGAGAGGCCCCGGCCTGATGTACCCCACAGCCGGACTGATGAACTTCAATCAATACCACTTCATCAATACCAATCATACTTCACAGTTTAAATTAATTCATTTTAAAACTATATAACTGCTAATTTATTAAGTAACTACCATCCACTTAAATCTGGTTATTTCATTTGACTAAATTTCTTTTCTTGCTTTTCACTCCATAATCAGTTACATTTAGCAAACTATTAACACACTGTTTTTATTTCTAATGATTAGCAATTACTTTTAGCTTACGAAAACTATTTCAACAAATCCCCCCTAACTCAACATTACTTCTAGCAAACTATTATGACATATATCCAATTCTCACTTCATTATAAACTATTTCAACTGTTTAATCATTAATTTCAGCACCGAGTTTTAACTTCTCACAATTTTACTCTCATAGTATTAAAGTGATATAATACATATATTTGTTTTCATCATTCTAATTTATTTAATTTGTAAAATTACCTCACAATCTTTCCATTCAATATGTAAAAAGTACAGGTACGGGATAAACCACTAATTGAGTGATCAGCAGATTGATATATAATAAAAACAGTTGCTTCAATGAACGATCACAAGCAAAACAACACACACACTTGGCTTTGAACCATCAGAATATACTTTACCTTTCCCATCGGCCCCCCTTGTAGCCCCTGCAAACTTCTTTATCACAAGAAAAGCAGAACTAGGGCAGTCCAAGGAACTCCACTCCAACACCTGTTCAAGAATCTTCTCACTGTGGTGCAGAGGCCGCTCTGTTAAAAATAAAATGCACTGGCTCAGAGGGAGGGGAACGATCGGTGGCTAAATCTGGGAGGAAATGGTCAAACAGACACGGTCAGAAAAGTCAACGACCCACAGCCGAGCCGCTCTGCCCTCTGGTCATACATGAATTATAAATGCATGAAACAAACCTCTTATCAGAAATCCCGTGACTAAATCTACTTAACCAAATAACAAAATGATGTTGTTGTTCTCCCCGTTTTCATCACAAAGTAGTTTAATTTATCTCCCGCACATCAGGAGCTGATTATAAAAACACACTCATGTGCAAAATAGACCTATTATCTCGTCCTAATTGGTGAGCAGGGTACATGCTATCAGCTAAGAAAAAAGAAAACGTAGATAATTTGTGTACCACCACCTCTGCTCTGATGCCTCCATCACCACCCTCCCCTGTTTTTCATAACCGACGGAGGTAAAAAGAGCCACAATGGCATAACTTATTCATAACAGTGGGCTTATCTTCCCTCTGGAATCTCTGCAGACCAAGGCCATGGAATTAGTTCCTCATTTCCCAACAAATATTGGCTCGCCTTTTCTGCCTATTGTCCTCGATAACAGTGTTTATCTGCAGCTGTCCCCCAAAATGGCTAATTAACGCACTTCCCTCCCTTCTTTATAGTTTTATGAGCAAAACCTGTCACGCTACCACCTTCAAAATAGCTCGACTGTTTACTCTTCCACAGACATATTGTCTTGGCATGGAAAATATGCTGAAACGACAGCAAATATATTCAGTATTCAACACGCCTTCACTTTTGGAGGAGGACGGCGTGCCCTCTGCAACTTTGCTGGGAGAAAAACAAACATAAGAGTGTGGCGTAAACTTCCAGTGAACTGATGAAACGTGCACAGGGACCGCCAGCTAAGCAACTTCCTGAAAAAGCTCAACTTTGACTTCCCCCTTTGCTCGCCGCTTCCTGCGCAGTGATCAAATGCGGGTGTGCGAGGCTTGTGGTGCAGTCAGTGCATATTAATGCAAGATGAGGTGGGTCAGCTCCCCAGGTCGATCATGCAAGGAGGATTAAGGTAATTCATGACATATGACGGGGAAGATGATTAATTCATGTGCATATCATCAAATCAACGATGCTTTGCTAATTTCTCAGTGTGCTTCCATGTTCACGGGGACTGGTTCATTAAGAGAGAGCCTAGTCTTCTAATCAGGAGGAGGAGAGGAAGTGGGATCTTTGTATGTGTCTGCATGGAAATTAGAGATCACATCAATTTTATGGAGTAAGAACTTACTTTTTTGTATAATATAGGTTAGTTTGTTGGTCCATTTGTAAAGGAGATGACTGGTGGTTTGCTAAATCAAGTACGAGATGTTTCTTCTCCTCTTTTCTTAAGAGATTTTAGTTTTTTTAACCTTATTGGATGTCTGACATTATGCATGCAGGAAATTATGTATCTGTGTTAGGCCAATATTGGCTGATAAAATCCACCAAACAAACAGGTCTAATGGGATTATCCATTTAAATGGGGATGGTGGTGGAGGCTGCACATATTAGATATACTTCGGAGGAAAGTTTGGGAGAAATCCCTATTCATTTAATATATAAATGAGTTTTTACTCTGTAATCCTTTAAACTGCTCCACAGAAAACACATTTATTCAATTAAGTTCATGCAACAGGTGTCTAATAAAGTGCTGGGGTCTTTCAGAACTGTATCATGGTACATTTTCCCATGATGCATCATAATGCATTTGAGTTAAGAGCCACAGATTACAGTAGTCAGTAATGAGATGGTAGGTATACCCTCAACACAATGATACTTTGACAAAACTAAGGACTGTGATGGAAAAGGAAAGAATTTTGTGAAACATGGTCACATTTATCAGGTTTTCAAGCTTCAATTACAGAGTCAGAGAATCTTTGAAGAATGTGCTAATATTCCCAGAGGATGCTCTTCTACTTCATCAAAAATAAAAATGCGTATTGAATGTTTTCAAATGGATTACGAGAAGTGGCAATTATGCTGATTTTGCTGATATGAGTTTTAAAAAATGACTTTTTAAGGCATGTGTATAATGTCATCCTGGCAGAATGTTTACTCAAAACATTTAGCTGATCCGAGGATACTCTCGTTTCAAATTCAGTGAGTGTCACATGATCATATTCTTGACAGTAGCAACAAAACCCAACAGAAAACTTTTTTTGCTGATGAACCTTTGAAGTGAAATAACTTTGAAGCATCACAAGGTTTGAAGTGAAGTAAGCAGGATAAAGAGTCATGTTCCCTTCTCTGATTTTAGAGGCATGAAAACTCACAGTCTAGAATTTAGCAATTAAAACACAAAGATTAGAGAAAAGTCAGGGGGAAAAAAATCAACATAATGTGTGAGGTAGAAAGTAGTTCTTTGTTAATCCTCTCCGAGAATAATCTTGCGTATGCTCGGAGGTCTTCAGGGGTCGACCCGATGCTTAACAGTAACTTGTCCAAGCAATTAGATGTGAAATCGGTGCTGATTGGGTCTGTGTATCCCAGCTGGGTTCAGGTTCTGAATATTTGTGACGAGTGGTTAGTTGACTGAAAGTATCCTGTTTTGTATTTTGTGAAAAGAATAAGTATCATGAGGCGAGTGCGGGGGGGGAGGGAGCATTTTAATTGGAAAATCGTTCGTACCTAGCTCTCCATTCTCAATGACCTCATAGGTGGTCCAGAAGTCACCAGTGCCGCAAGGGACGTTCCTCATGATCAACGCAGTTTCCACGAGCTCTCCGGACCTCATGCTGGGAGAGACCTACAGAGAACACAACAAATGCATATCTCGGCAAACAACAAAACAAATGACAATCAAAAACAATCAAACATCTGGAATATAAAAGCTGAGATCAGAAGCAATCTGATCGATAACTCCGCCTTCAACCCTCCCTTTGAGGAGCCGATCAATTTTCATCACATATTCAACGGATATTTGACTCGCAGCCATGTACACGGTGCACTGATTAAATGCTTACTTCTTCGTCACTACTTGTACCTGAACAGGCTTGAACTAAGCAAATGTTCTGCCTTATTTCACAGAGGGGAAGCAGAGTAATAAAGTCAAACCGCGCTGCCGAGCAATCCTCTTTAACTCCATCCCTATTCAACCGCCGCCGCCGACCTGTGAAAGGAATCTGCAACCTGCAGCGACCCGTGAGCCTCGTAAAATGTGATTACTCACACAATTAAATCAGACATTTCTTTGATTAGTTTGCTTTTGATTTATTTCGGCGGTGATAATCCCCCTCGGGTTAAACCACAAATGTCTCAGCCCTATTCTATCAGCCTCTCCACCTATCCATTCCACCCGCCCTCATCCCTCACTCTTGGCTCACCTGCCTTCATCCGGCACTCCATCTCCACCGCCCTCGCTCCTATTTCACCTCACCACCGAAGGGGCCTTTGGGAAAGCGAGCGTACACGAAGGCGCACACGTGACCGCACTGAAAGTACGGATGCACACTTTACTGCACGCACATGCAGACACACACATACCTTGATTAAACAGCAGTTCTCTGGGGCTCTCTTTTCCAGGTACACCTCGAAGATCAAGTCCCCAGCTGGAGAGAACTGAGAAAGTGAGAAAAAGAAAAAAGAAAAAGAGATCAGTTGAATTACAAAAACAATGCAGCTGGATTAATTGGCTTTTCTTCTAAATTCCTGGCTCCGGTGTGGCACGAATCCAAATGGAGAAAAAGTGAGAGAAATGTTAGGAGTGTTAGTGGAAACCAAAGGTCTTTGTCGGCGCTGGAGGCAAAGTGAACCCAGCAGTGATAATAGAATGCAAAACCTGACTAAATAAAGAGAACACGTGTGAGACAGAAACACTCGAGAGGTGGAAACACGTGTTTCACCTGCTCTGAGACTAAATTGTTTTTCACAGGTGTGATATCAGTTTAAAAATGATTTGAAGACTTGTCCATTATAGAACGTGGAAGAAAACTTAAGAGGAAAGTGTCGGGAAGAACCTGAGAGAGCGACGTGTGTTCAAAGTGTGCGTGTTAGTTAAAGACACAAGCGAGATGAAGCGGCAGAGCAAGATACTATTACTGAGAGATGTTTGTCATTGTAAATCGCTAACTCTTCTGATTTGACATGCTTTACTGTTTTTACATTCAGTTCTGAAATTTATCTATTTAATTGTTGAAGCTTTAAAAACCCCTCAACTTCCTGCAGTTTCTGAACCTCAGTGGCAGTAAACGAAAAGATAGTTAAACTATCGTACAATGTTTTCGAGCCGGGAAGCAATTAGCTTAGCCTAACATTAAGACGTGAAGAAGAGGGAAAAACCACACTTGACACAAAGACAAGTGGAAACCATCTTCTCGCCAACTCAGCAAGAAAATGAACCAAAGAAAATACACAACTGAAGAAAAAAAACATTTCCTTATCCTTGGAAATTTATTTCTCAATTTTGGACCAAAGATGAAGCGGTAGGAGTTAAAAAAACGAGATTATCCTCCTATTGTTTGTATTTAAACATTTCATTTATTCACTCACAGAAAAGAGGCACAGATAAATATAATTGTCTAACTAAATGTAACCTCTGTAAGATTAAAACTTACATTTCAGACTTTTCAGCCTTTCTACCAGACATTTAGGTTAAATTCTCAGTTAAAGGATTATTTTATATTCAATAGATCCCTTTCACCTAAATCTTACACACTGTCCCCTTAAAGTACCAATCAACAAATATTTTTCTTCCAATTAAAACCTACAATTGTTTGATGTTGTAAGCAAGTGAGTGATACTGTGACCGAATGTAACACCAAGTTCAAATTCTGAGGTGAGTGTTAAGCCATCTCCTGAAAATGAAGTGAAACGGTTCCTCTGGCTATCTGGACATTACAGTTACTTTTCTCTTGTCATTTTAAAGTACAGGTAAACAGAAGTTCATCATTGGCTTCATCAGGGAGAATGATTGCATGATTAGAGGGAAGAAGCCACTTCTGACTCCCTTGGCTCTAAAAATGACAGAAATTACAGTCATTCCAACCACTGAAAGCTGTACTTGTACAAACGTAACGGACAGACATCGGGCCCTGTTGGTTTGCTCAGCACACTTTTGATTTTTCCGTTTCATTGTTATGTGATGGGAGGAAGACAAGGCACACTTTACAAGCATGGTGTTGTGATGTGGAGTGAAAGAGACGGACAGGACATAAAGATACTTTCTGGAGAAGCAGGTAAATGCAACCAAAACATGTGTCAAATGTTTTTTTAACAGCTGCCAAAGACAAACCCTCCCTGCACTCACCCTGGCTGTAAATGCAAGTATTGATTTTAAAGTGCCACTCCTAACTTACAAGGCATGACATTGCCTTACACCTCATTATATCACTGATTTATTTACTCCCCCCAAGTCAAGCGACTTGCAGGGTCCGTGTCACTCTCTGCCTCGCAAAGGAAACAGATGAGGTCCGAACCTTCACCTGCAGGGGCCGACACTTCTGAAACAAGCTTCCTGTAAATGTCAAAAGCACAGTCTTGATATTCAGGCGCAGAGCCAAGAACCAATCTTTTGACACAGCTGTGACCTGCACCTCAACTCCTACCTTCTTGGTTTGGTAACAACCACATTCTATAGGCTCTGTTACTGGTGCTCCAATGATTTTACATCAGCCGGCAATGATTGGTTTGGCAGGGGAGAAGACTGGAGCAACCGTAATGGAGACAAGGGCTACAGCGATTGGGAGTACGACAGAGACTTTGGCAGAAATATCAAGGAGGCATTAAATAAAAGCTCCATGTGCTTCAGATAGAAAAAGTAAGAAGAAGTTCAGAGGAAGTATGGAGTCTAGAGAACAAACAGAGAAAAAAATGTGTTGTGGTTTGTCCTTGTTGGAAAATGTTTAAAGAATAGAAGGGACTGAGACTGTACAGACTCGCCAAACCTCTACAACTGTAACTGTAGACTCCATTTCCGGAAATAACTTGTTAATCAGTCAAAGAAGAAAATGCAGTTTTGCTCGATTCTAAACAACCTAGACCAAAAACGCAGAACTCTTGTCTTTGAATTTCTTAAACTACTCCGGAAATAAGGTTACCCATTGTCTCCACAGATAAATAATCCTCACGGTGTTACATAATTACACTCAACGATGTCTTTAAATGAAAAAGAAACTTAGTAGTCCAAGATGCAAAATTCATGTCACAATTTTCACCTCCGACAGCTTTATAATAGCATAAGCTTTCCACTGAGTAACCCTCCTGCCCCACAGCGGCAGACATGTTCTGAAAGTCTACAAAGCACGAGAGAAAAGAGGGGGGTGGGGCAGGCTTTGACAACTTACTTCGGATTTCAACAACAAGCAGCAGCGGCGTGTGATTTCATTTTCTTTCTTTTTTTTCCCACCATTTATCCGAGCTGAATGTGTTTCTCGGCTGAGGCGTTCGGGCATAAAGTACCTGCCGTAAAGGTTAACCTTTTTCCTCACCTGCCTTGCCTCGTCCGCCGCCTTCCCCATACAACCCCTACACTCTCCCCATGCCCTTCGGTTTTACCAGAAAAACAGGAAAAGTGTTCAAATGAATCCCTGATTAGAGAGACCCAGACACATGCAGGCAAATCAATACGAGCAGACACAAACCCACACAAGCAGCCACATCAGCCGTTGGTGATTTCCATTTGGGTTCCGCGGGTCGACTTACTGTGGTGTCCTTCTTGTCGTTCCAGCGTGAGATAAAACTATTCTCTCTCTCCATCTGTTGCACCTGGTCTTCATTGACCTGTTGGAAACAACATAAAAACACAAACACACACACAGACTTTAATTCAAACTCAGCCAAACAGAAACTTTCTGATCAAGTAAACAACTCTTGAGAAACATTAAGCATCTTGATAGAATTATGAAACCACTTTCGGTAATAATATAAACTCCAGCGCTTAAAGACGACACATGGAAGGTATCATAAACAAGCTGTGGAATTGGGTCGTTCAAGCTGACATTTCTGAAATTCGTTTCGAAGGAGGAACTTAGCTGTGAGGCGTTTGACACACAGAGTGAATCCGCTTCTCTTCCATAAAACTCTGGAATCATCATTATCATTTTCAGAGAACAATTTGCTTTGTTCGAGTTATACGAATGGCAGGGAAGATTGGGAAGGAAAAAAAAAAAAAAAAGCCCAACAAACTCATCGTGTGTGTGTTTAGGCCTGATAATAGGCCTCGTCGACGGCATCCAGCAAGGAGCTCGAGCCTTAATTAGCGAGACGTCTCGCTCGTTTTATGTCACAGCGTTCACAGCTATTGGGCTCGTATTTGGTTGAGCTTAATGGCTATTTGTCATGCGAGCAACGTCGTCCGGCTCCGATTCGGAGTGAATGCGCCTGCTTTGACATCAGGACAACGGTTTGCGGTTCCTGCATGGGCGCTGCGTGTCCCATAATCCAAGGGTAACATTGATCCCACACCCATCAACAGCAGAGTCAAGTCCATTGTGGAGTTTTGGCAACAACAGTTCTTCCCCCAGAATAAAGTCCTGTCTGCAGCTTGTTCTATGTAATAAAGTGATATCCTTATGCTTTAATCAAGTATTGATCATTGATTGTAATGCAAATGACATGGACGGATGGAAGATGGATGAGTTTTTTATTGAGGCGAAAAAAACAAAATAAATCCACACATCCCAGTCATAAGGAGAATAAAACAGATTCAGTTATATTTTCTCTTTTCCAAAGTGGCTCCTCACATATAGAACAGAGTCATAAACTTCCTTTCCCCTCAAGCGCAATGTGTCCTGGACAAGAGTCTAGGTGTTCTCGGTGACCTGTTTATTTATTTTTTTTTATAAAATCTGTTTTCTGGAAATGTGTTCCATCCGTCAGCAAAGACACTGCTGTCAATATCTGGCTGTTGATTCTAAAAGTTTCAAGTATACCAACTTTTTAGAATATATATTTATATAGGGAATAAAAATGGAACTTGCAGGTGGAGGATATAACCACGTTCAGTTAGCCTTTTTTCAACCTCATTGTTTCCCAGAGTTCTGTCAAATGGCGGGGAAAGAAAATACAGCAGTTCTGACTTACATTGAAGAGTGTAATGTAGTTGTTGATGAGGTCACGGACCACGCTAATTTCCTGTGGGGTTTGTCCCCGGGTCTGGAACAAGCAGGAGGAGAAAACGGTGGCCAGTTTTTCGCTCGGCATGCAGTTGAGGTGGGAGCACTGCTGAATCCTGAATCACAGGGACGCAGACGTTTAGCAAGAAGAATAAGTAAATGCCCATGCATATTGTTAACACTCACATTTGCTAGACATTAGTCCAAATTCAACAAATGGACCAAAAAGTCTTATAATTTATATCAAGGACATAAAGCTGCACACAGATACAGAAGAAATCAAGCTTGAAAGCTCTACACAGTACCCCAGGGTCCACAAGATCAAGGTAAGCTGTAGAACAAAGCGATAGTTGTTTAGTATTCAGGAGGGACACGTGTAATTTATTGTGTTGCCCATTTATTAACACATCTGCAAGTCTTGTTTTTAATGTTAAACACACTCAAACTCAGTCTCCTTCAGGATGTGTGACTTTGAAATAGCCTCAATTGCACAAGCTATAAATGTGTCTCAGGTCTGTGTGTGTTTGTGTGTGTGTGTGTGTGTGTGTGTGTGTGTGTGTGTGTGCACCTGTACAGATGTTGCAGCAGAGCATCGAGGGTTGACCTGTTTATCTTTGGCAAGCTATCGATGAAGGTTGAGTACTTCTTCACTCGCTGCCTCTCGTCCTTCTCGTCTGCAAAAGAAAAACGCACATCACGAGAACCAATCCACACGACGTCAAATACGAGGCCGCAGACACACAAGGGTCACGCTTTACTTCCATTTTCATTGTAAAGCAAATCCGAGTATTTTCTTTTTCATCTCTTATAATGAAATCGTGTCTCCGCCGCGACCATGAATATTGTAGAGCCACATTACCAGACTATAACCATATCCCACTTGTCCTTTAACACTGGCATATTTTTCCTTGTTGATGTTGAACTGACGTACCGAGAGCCGACACCCAGTACGGATAGAGCTCCTTGGTCAGTAGAGCGTCCTCTGCTTGGGACAAGAAGCTCTTCAGGGTGTCCGTCACGTCCTCCAGCTGGTGCTCCTTCTCCCTCAGCTTCACATTACGGGCGTTGAGGGTGAAATCCTGCAGGAGGAGGGCGACTCGGGCGGGTTCCCCAGGCCTCTGATAGACCCCCTCCTGACACAATCCTGGTTGGAAGGTCAAGACAAAATAATAAATACAAATTATTTATCTAACGCCGTCTCTGGTGTCTGGAAACATGTAATGTGCCATAGACTGTATATAAATAAATATTATATGAAAGTGAAGCTGAGGTATGTAGTACATATATTTCTACAATAATTATAGGACAATAACAAACATTATGTTCAAATTGGATTTAAGGACTTTAGTAATGTTGCATAATCACATTTTAATTGCAGGTAGAATAAAATTAACCGGTGTCACATTCCATTCAAAGTTCACTTCATTGTCGGTCCCTTACACACACCACTTTGTTTAAGTTCCCTTTTGCTTTTCTGATGCATTTACAAAAAAAACATATTTTCTGTTGTGTTTATATTTTGGAGCAATCGGAGCCATGACTAGTTCGACTACATTTTCTACATTTGGAAGAGAGATGGGATAATGTCGCTGCTGCATTAAGCTCCAGTACTTTAGAAAGCATGAAATTCTCATCACGACGCAGCACACTGAATGAATCAGCTCCTCGAGGGGGAAATCCTAATAACAGTCCAGCTGAACTTTTTTCCCTGAAAACTTTTCTTCCCCCACATAAATTTGAAAGAAACTCACCATACTGAGTGACAAAGGCGAGGCAACTGTCGACTATGATGGGGACTCCATTTTTAGTCAGCTGTTGGTCGCTGAGGGCTTTGCCGTCCGTGCCCGCAGCCAGAGTGATGGCAGAGTGCCACAGTTCAAAGTCCGCCTTGCTGAAGCCGTGGATGTAAACTGTTCTGTTGAAATGAAAAGAAACAATCATTAAAAACATTTTGATAAATGTGGCAATATGGTGTTTCTTAGGGTTAAGTTGTTCGTACATTTGGAAAAAGCAAATCGACCAACAAGATTAAAAGGAAATTTAAAAGCACCTCCACAGAACACACGGCCATCAACAACCAGCGTTTTCCCTTGAAGCTTGATCAAAAGCGCACGGACAAATGCAAATGAACCGAGTAAGTAACAAAGTCTTGTTGTATTATTCTAACAGGAAGAACTAAAACTGTGCTGCGACGAGTTTCGTGCCATCTCACCTCTTCTCTCTAACTGAGGCAGGCAGCCAAGTGCAGGTTTAATTACCTCGGATGGTTACAGTAGGTAAAGTGCATTCGGACTAACAAGACAACGGCAGAATCAAAGCCGCTGCATAATGCATGGACTCGCTGTATCACAAGTACATTGCCAATTAGCACACCTTTTTTTATTTCCAGTGACTGACGTACCTTCCACCCTCCACCATCAGCAGGACTTGTATCTTATCCTCACCCTCGGTATGTGTGGAGACAGCTGAGGGAAAAAAAAAGAAAAGAGAATGAGCGACGAGCTGAGGTTAATGCAATCTCCAAAACGGTGTACATTCAAATGTGCAACATGTTCCGTGCTCGTGCACCGTAACGCATCAGGAACAGTTTAGATTTGACATTTGGAGCGCAGACGCTTAGAAGCTTTTTGCCGTGAAACGTGGACGTCGATGCATTCATTACCCGTCCCCCAAAAGGTCTCTGTTCTCTTAAGCATGCATTTCTGTTTTTTATTGTGGCAAATAATACGTTGCACAATACGTCTAGACATATGTGATGATCACTTTAAAATGTGCAGACACGCTGAGGGACAAAAAATGAGTGAACAGTACAGGATTGTGCACGTGGAGTTCAAAGTGTTTCTGTTTAATGGGAAACAGGAGCAGTTTTTGCATCACTGACTTAGTAACTGTGGCTTAAACAAGAGCAGGAAGTCGAACAAGAACACGTGTCATTAGTCATCGAGCTTTACATGTATGTTTGCAATGAGGGTAGTTTTTCACACGGCTTTCAGCATCCTCCGTCGATTCAGTCCATCTTTTGAAATTGAAATAACAGCGCAAGGATGCAGAGAAACTGGGCGACGGGACTCGAGAGCGCCGCCGTGATCTCGTCTGTGGGTTCAAACAGCTGCTTGGATCATAGCAGCATCAACAAACAAACATGTACAGGAAACAGATGCGAGACGAGTCACAAATCTCTCTGCAACGACATCACACTCAAATCTCTGGTCGTGCTTAAATAAACAGACTGCACTTAAAATAACAGTTTTTTGGAAATTGTAAGCTCATTAAATAATTACCTGTGCAGAATGTAAGATTCTACCAGGGTGAAGAGTGATTCAATATTTATGGAAATGTGCTTTCTTGCCAAGAGAGGTTATATTTGTATGGTTGCTAATTAGCTCGGCTTAAAAATGTCTCTTTCACACTTTTTTTGTCTGTGTTAAACAAACAAGATATAACGTATAATTATTGAACTTAGCTAAGCTAACTGGCCACGAGCGGTACCTTCATATTTACCCTACTTCCAATAAATTTGGATTATCACCTTTACATTTGAAAAACACATTTGGCATTCAGATGATTCTTTCCTCGCTATCTGAACTGGATCGTCACTCCACAACTTCTGCACGTGCTTCTTTAATAAACACACATATTGATAATATCTACTGACAGAACTTTTAATTTGATTGTTGTCACAAAAGAAGACAGGAGGACTGGCACAAAACAACACCAAAAAAACATTACGCCAATTGTATTTTGGCAAACAAAGCCTTTGTATTTTGAGCTAAACAGCAAAACAAAAAAAACAAAAAACATTAATTCCCCAAAGACTCTCTTAACAAATAATTAGCTTTTTATTTTCTTGGGCAGATTTTCAAGGGCATGGAGTTTCATTCTGATATAAACAACAAGAGAAGAAAAAACAGAGAACTGACATGAGAGAGGTTTATTAGCTGTGTTATCAGGTAAATGCAAAACACTTGTCATTGCTGTTTGAACAAACACACAGCAAACCTCTTTCATCCATCTCACAGCTCAGTGGGATTTTATTTTATTTTTTTAAATCACTTAATATTCTTGTGTGATAAGGAACCGAGTCAGCGGCCTTGTTCTCTTCATAATTTGTACTGGGCGTCCTTTAAGAGATTTTCATTATGTATTTTTCTTTCTAACAATCAGGGGGATTGAGGTTGCTGCTGCACGTTTTCTCTAAAAGTATTATTGTCTCTAATGATCCAAAGTTCGAAGGTGAGAACCTGGTGATTCTTTTTGGTGTGGTAGCAAATTTTTACGATTTGTTAAGATGATGATGATGTGAATATAAAATGTGACGGCAATCAATGGGAACAAAAGAACACTTCATCCCTCACTTTCAATTTAAAATATCAGACATTGGAAATACATTACGTTTCCAGAGGTAATGGCTAAAATACCAAGGCTACCTGAAAAAGGAATTAACCCTCCATATGTTACTTTTAACAAATGCAAATGTTATTTAGCGTGCACTATTTCTAATGTCAATCATCACCACATCTTTCACTACATCCATGTTAATACATTAAGGGATCGTGGTTGTACCACTCTAGTGTGTTTGCATCTCAAGCTAAAATCTTTGCCGTTTTATTTTGAAAAGTCTACCTCTGCATTTAAGTAGAAGCAGGCAGAACAGGAAAAGTTTGACTGAGGTTTTTTTGGACGGACTAACATAAAATCTGCTGATGATTTTTCTCCTCTATCTCAGTGCCTTAAAAGAAATCCACTGAGAACTTTGGGCTGAATGAGCTCAAAGTTAATGCGCTCGTCATTTCACAAAGTTCTGGGTGGGAAGGCTGATTTGTGCTCAGTGACAGGTTAATAATTATCCAACTGTATCTGTCACTTTCCACTCGTTTACTTTGGTTCCAGTTATTTGTGCGTCAGACGTCTTTCCACGCGACATCACACAGACATCACCCCTCACTCAAGTGCTCCCATAAGGCCGCAGGAAGTCAATTTGAAATGTGGTGCACCCTCGCTCTATGGATTTTCTTTTTTCTTTTTTTCTTTATTAATAAAGCACTTAACAAAAACAAAGTAACAAAGTGCCACACATCCAAGAGAAATGAATATTGAACAATTGACACAGATAAATAAAATGTTTTTAACTGATGCTTAAGGCCATGAAAATTGTCCTAGTTGTTGGGTTGAGAAGACGAAAACAATAAGTGACAGACAAGGCAATTAAGGCTAAAATAAAAAGAAACCAGATTTTAAAATGATCACTCACACACTCTCGCAGCCTGAGGGAACAGGAACAGACTGCATCTCACTGACAATAAACTCCTGATGCATGTTGGAAACATGTAGCGATTTTAATTGAAAAGTGAATTTATCTAATCCCTCGGCGCGACACAGGGCCACCTTTCATGTGGCGGTGTCACCGTTAGAGAAAATAACAGTTAATCCCGTGTCACAGACTCTGATTCCTAAAGGAATCCTTTCAGCGCTCCAGAACCCCCCCCCTCCGACAAAACACAGTCCCTTCCGGCGCCCTGGGCTCCCTGGCTGTGACAAATATGCTTTGAGAGAAGCAAGGAATATAAATAAAAAAACGAGCACAGTCGCAGTCCGTCATCCCGCCTGAGGTGAGCGGACGGGGCGGCACTTTGTGCAATTTGATCCACGTCGAGCTGTAAATGGATTTAAAAAGATCTGATGATTCTGCCCTCCTTCTGTTTGCACACTTGTGTAATCGACTGAAATGTTCCCAAATCTTTATTATCTGCCAAAGTATGTGTGGACTTTTGAGCCTTTGATCCCTGATGGCAGCCGCGGCCCACTCACCGTCCTTTCAACACCTCCTACTTGTGTGATTCATGATAAAGAGACGGAAACAGATCTACAAAGACACCTGGAAAAACAAGAAGCCCCCATGGGAGCGTGTCCAGAGCATCAGTCTACTTTTAGAAAATCAGAGTTCGCAGCAGCTCAATTTCCAGCCTTATCAGAGAATGAACAAGAGTCAGAATCTGAAAAACAACTCTTCCAAAAGGTCAATGGGTCATTAAAGGAAGAAAACTGCTCTTAATCACTGACAGCATCGGCTGTAAATGCACACGTTCCCTTCTTCACAACAGCATATGAGTATTTGGGAAACTTTTTCCAGACATCTAGGGTCGTATTTTGCTGCCATGGAAGAAAAAAACAACAAGAGAAGTGGAAGAACTGTCTCCAGACCTCTTTACTGCTGAAACAGACTTCGGACAGAATCATCTGTCAAGCCAACCAAACATTAGCGTCTGTCACAGACTGTCACGATGAGGAGGGAGAAACAATCAGAAAAAAAGGAGAGCCTGTCAGGAGAGGCTGTGAGCACACGGCAGATAACAAAAAGACGAATTAGCTGCTTTTGCAAACACACTTTGACAAGTTCCTGAAATGTGGGAATTGTGTTGTGTTTTAATGGAATTATTCCCCTTTCACTGATATTTTAAAACGCCAGAGGAGGACTATATTATCCTTGGATTCTAGGTCATCCTTGTTAACCTTATAAAACCACATTTAAATTCACCACATCCAGATTTTTGAATGGATCTGCACCAAATTACATGAACATGCCTGATTTTTGTTTTCATCAAGATGCATAAATAGTTTTCACATTGTTCAATCCTAGATCTGCACTAACATTGAACGGGTTCTTCCCTGATCAATACTGCATCCTTCCATTAAGTGCCATGGCCATCCAACAAACAAACAAGAAAATCCTCAGCGGAGGTAAGTAAAATGTCGATTTGGCATAAATCTTGAGTGGCTTTCACACCAACATCTTTTGGTCGAGACCTTCTGACTGCTCAGTTTAGTCTGAAGTAAAACAACAGGTGTGAAAGGAAGTTAAGTTGGCGTGTACTGTGCCTGCAGCTGGTGATGCTGGTAATATAAAAATATATATATGAGATATAACAGTGATTATGAAAATAACAGAATTTTCTCTGTTCAAACAGAAACCCTACATCCACAAACCAATCAATGTCTGGTACAGTTAGATGCATGTACTTTAACCTTTTCACTGGTAAATCTGATATTGTTGACCTTTATTTTAACGTCTACTATTTATCTCCGTGTCCCTCAGCTCCAATCACTGAGAGTCGGTCTGCAGAAGAAAAACTAAATGAGCAGCACTCTTACTGAGCTCCTGAAGCTGTTTGAGCTGAAGCACCTCCTCCTCTTCCTCCTCTTCGCCTGGGCTGAAGTGCAGGGCCGAGCCTTCCAGCATGAACCAGCCCGTCCTCCAGTGGTACAGGTCATGGCCCTCCTTGTAGTTGAGTTTGCCAATCAGCTCGCTGTCTCTCTGCACCAGACCCTCCACTTTAGACGGGACGAAGCACTGCGAGATGAACAGTAGGCAAGAAAAACGGAAATGAAGAACTTTCAAAATTAAACAACGAGAAACTTTTCACGTCACCTCACGACAACACAACAGGTGCCGCTTTCTTCTTCGAGGCGTAAACCTTTGCACAGTTTCTCTGTCCCTGGCTGAATTATCTTCCAGCTGCACATCCCTCCCTCCCGCTCAGCTGTCTGGCCATTGTTGTGCGATTCAAATTGAAATACGGAGGTGTGGAAGGGCTGTGGTACAGATGGAGAGGCATACGGACTAATGCAGCTACACCTCCCACTATCTATGACGGGGTTGCCTGGGATTAAGGAGATAAAAAGGGGAATTGGGGACATATTTATGTTGGGTGTTATAACAAGATCCTGTCTGCATGTGGGGGGAAGAGATAGCAGGACCACTTGTCTTATTGGAAAAAGCACAGGAGCTCACTGGGGGACAATGTGTTGCACAGCAGCGAATATAAAAATATGAGGTGGAGTTCTGCACTTTCACAGTTTCCTCTTTTGAAACTATAAGTGAGAAACAAACTTACAAAAAGAAACAATGGCAGCAAGTGTGTGTTTTATGCAAAGTCTGTCACCTTTGTCAGCGCCTGGGTCCAGTCATGCTGCGTTTCCTGCGTCTCAGCGCCGACAGTCAGAACTCTCTCCGTCTGCAGGTACAGCTCCATGGTAAACACAGCCCTGCCACAGACACACAAACTCACTGTTGAATATATCTGCAGTGGAGAGTGTTCTCATGCACAAACAGGAAGGAGGCAAAGAAACTTCCAGGACTTTGCATTTACACACAGGCACGGTTTGTACTTTGAAGCAACAAAGCAAACTTCATCACCAACAACATCGTGATCCAGATGTGAACGCACAAGTTTCCTTGTGAACTTTTTCAGTGTGTATATCTGTGCTTTTACGACGTCTGAACATATTGAAAAGTAAATGGGCAATTTGATTTGCTGGGAACACGCCAGGAAAAAGTACATTTACGTCGATGAAGCATCAGAAAGTGTATTTTGGGTTAAAAACAACCGATAGGACGTACTTACAGCTACGTCCACTTGTGATCAGCTCCCCCGAGATGCATGTTAATGTTTGGTGTGAACAAGGTCAAAGGTCAAGATATTCTTTTCAGAAATATTCTGTTCACGTGTGCACTATTCTATGGATTTACAACGAGAGAATTCCCAGTACAACTACAGTCGTTTGGCTACTGAGCTCCACTGAAGTGTCTGGAAACCGAACTACAGAGAAGGAGGAGAGGTGCATATTTTCACACCGTCACACTGAGGAGACGTTCGTAGTGTTGCATTTGTTTTCTCCACATGAAAAGTACCATGAATAGTTGTGTAACAAAATAGAGAGGAACAATCCTTTGCTCTTTGTCTCAGCTCTGCACATCTGCTCCAGAGTTCAGAGGAGAACTGTGACTCAAATCAGATTTTTTAATACAAACTGTGGCCAAGGTGCAACTTTAAAAAACAAGAGATTTATGATGCGAATTCAACCCAAAATCTTACAATTGATTTTATTCTATTTATTTTTTTCGCTTTCACTAGAAGCCACAAATTATAAGATAATACATTTATTTAAGGGTTTTATTCAAAATATCTGTCTGGACTTTGGTGTATGAAAAAAAGAACAAAGTCAAGTGAAGTGAAATTTGAGCCAAGGAACAACCTATTCATTTTCTGAAGAAAGGGATGAATCCAGAAATGTTTCAATGTTCTTTAACAACGTGAGATGGATGTTGTTTTATTTCCATTCTGACCAATTTCTCAAAAAATATATCGTGGATCTTGTCGGAAATAATCTGGCATATTTAGGGGGCTGATCTTTAGGACAAATCTGCGTGTAGCAAATTTAAATGTGGTTTCATAAGGGCGTTGATGAAAGAATGAGTTATTAGCAGAAAACGAATTCTATAATTCATGTATAAACACACTCACTACACTTGTAGATGAAATCCATCCTGTCGGAAGCAAAAAGGCAGCTATTAATCTTTGTTGGTCTTTCTCCATGTCTCTCTCCCTCTTTATTTTTCTCTCAGTGAAGGTATAGAGGTCAGAGTATCACTCTCTTAATGGTTTGAACACAGTGCCAAGCGGTCGCTCCTTCTCCACCGGTACGCTGTGGCGGGGGAGGCTCTAAATGCTACAGAGCTGGGTGTTTAAGGTGGCGTGTCACCGGGGGTCACGGCAGCGCTGAGCCGCTCTTCTCTCACGCGTATCAGGGGAACAGTCGAGACATGGGTGTTTGTATGCCCTCGTGTGACCGCCCCCCCCCCCCCCCCCCCCCCCC